CCCTGTACGGCCTCCTTGTGCTGTCTCCATCGCCAACACTCTGCATGGCCAACTTTCAGGTCTCCTCACACTGTGGTGGGTTCCGCATTTTGTATATAGGGTGCTGTATGGCCTCCCATTGCTGCTGTCAGGTCGTAATTTGCCATGGGCCCCGTAAGACCCTCATGCTGTCTGCCAGGCCCGTAATTCTGTTGATGGGCCCCCATGGGCCCCCGTTACCGACTCCTCCCTGCTGCTGCCAGGCCCGTAATCTGTCATGGCCCCCCCTGTACCGCCTCCTCATGCTGCTGCCAGGTCCAGAGTGTGTCATGGGTCCCTGTACGGCCTCCCCATTGCTGCTGTCTCCATCGCCACACTCTGCCATGTGCCACTTTAGGTCTCCTCACACTGCTGGTGGGTTCCCATTTTGTCATAGGGTTGCTGGCAGATTAACGGGCCTCCCATTGCTGCTGCCAGGCCCGTAACTCTGCCATGGGCCCCCGTACCGACTCCTCATGCTGCTGCCAGGCCCGTCTGGTCGTGTCTGGGCACCCCCTGTACCGCCTCCTCATGCTGCTGCCATCGTCCAGAGTGTGTCATGGGTCCCTGTACGGCCTCACCCATTGCTGCTGTCTCCATCGCCACACTCTCCCATGTGCCACTTTTCAGGTCTCCTCACACTGCTGGTGGGTTCCATTTTGTCATAGGGTGCTGGCAGATTACGGGCCTCCCATTGCTGCTGCCAGGCCCGTAATTCTGCCATGGGCCCCCCGTACCGACATGCTCAGAACTCCTCATGCTGCTGCCAGGCCGTAATCTGTCATGGGCCCCTTTCAGGTCCGGCCTCCTCACACTGCTGGTGGGTTCCAGTGCTTGTCATAGGTGCCCCTGTACGGGCCTCCCATTGCTGCTGCCATGGGCCCGTAATCTGTTGGCCCCCGTACCGACTCCTCATGCTGCTGCCAGGCCCTGTAATCTGTCATGGGCCCCTGTACCGCCTCCTCAATGCTGCTGCCCAGGTCCAGAGTGTGTCATGGGTCCCTGTACGGCCTCCCATTGCTGCTGTCTCCATCGCCACACTCTGCCATGTGCCACTTTCAGGTCTCCTCACACTGCTGGTGGGTTCCTTTTAGTCATAGCGTGCTGGCAGATTACGGGCCTCCCATTGTGCTGCCAGGCCCGTAATCTGCCATGGGCCCCCGTACCGACTCCTCATGCTGCTGCCAGGCCCGTAATCTGTCATGGGCCCCTGTATACTCCGCCTCCTCATGCTGCTGCCAGGTCCAGAGTGTGTCAGTGAAGTCATCCCCCTGTACAGCCTCATGGGCCCCCGTACCATTGCTGCTGCCAGGCCCGTAATCTGCCATGGGCCTCCGTACCGACTCCTCATGCTGCTGCCAGGCCTGTAATCTGTCATGGACCCCTGTACCGCCTCCTCATGCTGCTGCCAGGTCCAGAGTGTGTCATGGGTCCCTGTACGGCCTCCCATTGCTGCTGTCTCCATCGCCACACTCTGCCATGTGCCACTTTCAGGTCTCCTCACACTGCTGGTGGGTTCCATTTTTTTCATAGGGTGCTGTATGGCCTCCCATTGCTGTTGCCTCCACCGCCACACTGTGGCTCCACACTCTGGTTTTGGCCCCGTGACTGCCCAAATGAGTGAAGTGTGCGGTGATTCTAAGATCGACGGCACTCATCTGCATGTCATACTGACTGACCGTATTATTTCTCTTCCCCAGCAGACTCCAAGGGCATTTAAATTAAAGGTACAGTGTTCTGCACTAATATAAAGGCTCTCTGAAGCCTAGAAACACACCCTTTTTATAAGTTAAATTCGCAGTGAATATATTCGACTCGAATCGAATTTATTCGCGAATTCGCCGAATCAGCCGAATCGAATTTTTGAATAATTCGCTCATCTCTAGTTAGGGTTATAGGGAGAGTTAGGCCTAAAGGGAAAGTTAGTGTTAGGGTTATATGGAGGGTTAATGTTAGTCCTTGATGTGTTTTTGAGCCTTTGTAATGCTCTTTTTAATGAAGCTTGGCAAATGTCCTGTGTGCGTTTGTTTTAAAAGGGAAGTGATGTCACGTGATGATATGGAATTTGCCAGATTTGAGGTGTGGTTAGGTGTTCGGTATATTGGAGTTTTTGTTTTATTTTGATGTATTTTGTAGGTCAGTAGTACCCCCACTCATGAGTTTCCTGGCTTATTAGTACCCCCGCTCAGCAGATCTCCCAACTCAGTAGATCTCCAGATCAGTGTTTCAACAACTCAATAGTACCCCCAGTTTAATAGATCCCTCACTCTGCAATTTCATGGCAGATCCCCACCAAATCTCTCGCTCAGTGGTTTCCCCCAGTAGTACCCCCTGTTCAGTGGTACGCCCACTCAGTAGTACATTCTCCCCTCAGTAGTACCCCCCTTCAGTGACACATTATTTCCCCCCCACCAGTCATTAGTACCCCCCTTGCTCAGTAGTACCTCATCCACTTAGTACTACATCACCACCCAACAAGTTCACCGCTCATTAGTACATTCCCCATCGCTCCCCCCCAGCAGTGCGCTACTAACAAACATGGTTTGGCCTTTGTCCAATGTCTTGGCGTTTGTCCAATAGGAGCTGACCCTCTCTTTGCATTTTCCATATAAGAGAGTGGTGGCAAATGTGCGCCCAGAACCCTTGATGACATCGCCCATAGCTGCTTGCTTGCTATGGAGGCAATTGGTGGGGGGGAGGAGTCAGGAGCACCAGTGTGGATCCTGAGAAGATGAGGATCAGGGCTATTCTGTGCAAAACCATTGCACGGAGCAGATAAATATATAACTACATCCGATGGGGATGTACCAAAGCCAAGGTCTAAGCCAATGTGCTGAGTGATAAGCCATGGAGGCAACCCAATATGGAGGATCTTTAATCTAGAATCGCTGTCTAAACTGCATTAATCCCAATGCCACTACTGCATCCCCACTTAAGGGGGCCCTGCACCATACAAACAAGAGACTGTCACCTAAGGAGTGCCGCAGAAGGATCTGATCCATTGACACTATTTCCTCTCCTGGGCACCCAGACAGAGGCATCCCCAGGAGACCCATGACCTGGCCTAAACAGCACCAACAGTAATCTGACCTATACTCCCATCAGGCCTTATGGCAATGGACACCATTGGCAAACCTCACCCAGCACAGGTTTCATTTCCAGAAGATGTTCTCATCTTTAGGTTAGGAGAAGGAATAGTCCACACAGCAACAGCCTTTTAACTCCTGCAACACAGTTGATATACAGTATATATATATCTACATCCCACTGGTGAGAGCACATTCCTTAACTTGCAAACAGATGATAGCAGAGGTGAGAGCTGAGTACCTTTAGGGGTTTGCCTACATTCTATACTCATGAAATGAGAGTAGTAACATTAGTCTTGCACCTCTCCTAAAGGGAAGCACCCAAAAGCTAGATCCTCAAAGATTACGTCTTTGCTGCCTTGATCTATGCACTCCTTTCCATGATCAACTGACCCCAAATGGAATCCCACCATACACTGGTCTCTACCCATGATGCCCCACATTGACAGGGTCAGGGCTGACACCTCCTCACAGCCTATGTTATACCCCACTTACTACTCTGTGGAACTCTAGCTGCTACCTAAGATCTTACACTGCTTTCTCTTCACTACAGGGTTCCCAACCCTAACTTTTGTGATATATAGTGACCAATATGAGGAAATGTACAGAGAACTCTTGTGCCCCTACCCTACACTACCATTGAACAACACAACCCAACAGCGAAGAACCTGGAGGGAAGAAGAGATTACTGGATGCTACTTTATCTTTAAAGAATATTGTGGCTGCTGTCTAAATCTGTTTGATTCTGCTGATTGTCCTATGAACAAGGGTCCAGAGCTTGTGCCTTATAATGGCCCCACTAAGACCAAGGATTTCCATCTAATAGTTAGGCCTTGTCAAACTCTTTAGGTTAACACTCTGTGTTTAACAATTTTGAAGGGGAAGGGATGTATTCAGGAAAAGGGGAATTAAAGGGTTATGTTTTTAAAAATGTCTGAAGTTCCTATAGATTGTAAGCTCCATGAGCAGGGCCCTCATATTCCTTCTGTACTGAAATGTATTTGTAATTGTACTGTCTCCCTTATATCGTAAAGCGCTGCGCAAACTGCTGGCGCTATATAAATCCTGTATAATAATAATAATAATTGCACAAACCAGCAATGCTAAACAATATGTTCTATGTCAGAATCCTGAAAAGATTACCTACCCCTCTGTTCTGCTGTGCTACTTTACAGTGCAAAACTCAAATGATGTGCACTGAAATGGGTATATCCATTGGATCCAGAACCGTAGTTCAGTACTTAGTATTTGACTGCACACTTCTTAATTCCTTTCTCCTGGGCAGGGGGAGACCATGAACATGCTTGCTTGTCTCCCCACGTTTCTCCCCACGCAAAAGATGCCAAGATTAGCAAATCGAGTATGCACGTCAATGCAATCACTCAAGTACATGATGATAAGTCCACTCTGGATTTAATCTAGGACACTGACAATTTGGCTTACTAGAACTTTTCTGCTCCCGGTTTCCAGATGCTGCGGGGGTCTGAAGTTAAGGGAATTTAATGCTATAAAATTTCACGTGATGGCACCATGCTTCATACTCAGGAGATGCCCCTAAGATGCACAATTCAGTTTACCATTAAAGTGAACCAACCCTTTAAATCAAATTGTCCTCCCTGTTAGATTATCATTTCTGTTAATCACATTCTCCGCCATGTGCTTTTCTCGGAAAAATTGTTTATTTTCTGTGAACAGATCTAGCATGAGAAACTCCATGAACCCTTTACCAGACCTGGCTCTGGTATTGCTCTGGTGCCAATTGCACAATTACCCACTGTACCCAAGGGACAATAACTGTTTGGCTTAGTATAATACTATTTTACTTAATGTTTCCAGTGAATGCATGATAATTGAGGCTTCTACTTTTGCCCTTTTAACAACAGACGGCCGAGTGGCTAACAAAGGGAGGTGATGCACTCTAGTGTTGCAATGCTATCATTGCATGTGAGAGTGTCAACAACTGTTTTGTGCAAGTTCATAGTTTTGCCATGGTACATGTGGAGGAAAAAAGGGTTAATGTCACACTGTTGATCCCTGGCAATGAACCAAGGACTGTCATAGATGCCATGTCAGTAGCTTTGATGGATCCCAGATCCACGGGGCGTTGATGGAATATCTGTATTGTAATATTCATTTCCAGTCATTTCCTAAGCGCAAATTTAATCTTGACAAGCCAAAGCCAGGTCATTTGTCTCATAAAAACATGCAATTCACAGGCATTTGTCTGTTTTATATGTACGATTGTAATGACAAGCCCCATCAACCAATCCGTAAATAAAAACAGCTTTTATTAACTTAATAAGATGCT